CTCAGCAAAAGTAGATAAGATATTCAATCTATTAAGAATAATCTCAAGCGACAAAATTAATAGAAAGAAACTTTTGAATAGAAATATAAGGTAAAATGAATATTTTTTTTGTATCTATATTGACTTTTATTTTAGTTTGTTAGTTAATTGAAAAAGAAATCGACGACTAATCCCAAGAATTAGGACGAATATGAATAAATTGTAAGTGTGAATGAGGTTGTAGACAACAAGGTAACCAAAAGGGTGTAATGAATGATCTAGCGGTTTCTTCGTGATAAGTTCAAGTGATTTCGTTCTCCGTCGTGGCAAACATTCATTAATATAAATATCAAAATTAATCTTTCTTTTTAATTCTATCGCTTATTTTGTTGCATGATACTCTGTATTAATAATATATAATTCTTGACAAGTGACCACAGAATATTTATTTCTAAACTTGATGATCTTTTCTATTTATAAATCATTCTATAATATTAAATAAATCTATATAATTCAAATTCGTGATCTTCTCAACGATAAGAAAAAATCCAAAAACTATGCAACATTCTAATTCATAATTAGTTTTTTGATTTTATTTGACTTAATTCACTTTGGCTTTGATTAATGGAGCTATCTTTATTTTTTAAAATAAATTTTTGTCATTTAATAATATTAATATGAATTTTTTCTTAATTAAGAAATGATATTATACATTAAAGACTAACAAATCTCAATCCATTTTTATGCCAAAGACTGAGAGATATCATTTTGAATAAAGTTTATAGTCATTCTATTTCTCACATATGATCAAGTACAAATCTACGATAAGCAGTGCCATGTGCCATTAATTCTGCATGTGTACTACTTTCCAATAATCGTCCATTAGGACCAAGAACACAAATAAGATCACATGATTGAATAGTTGAAAGACGATGTGCAACAATAATAACAGTTCGTGATGGATTATCTTGCCGTGCAACATTCAACGATTCTTCAACAAGCTGAAAAAAATTAGAAATAATATGTAAATTTTTTGACTATTAATTGCTTTCTAATTATTCAGTAGTGTCGAATTTCTCAACTCTCTACTATGAATTACATTATTAAGTTTCAACAAGAGATAAATAATAGAATCAAATATTATATACGATCTAATATTTCGTTAATTTGTATTTTATAAGAAATAGACAAACAAATTTTATATACCTTTTCATTATGTACATCCAACGCACTTGTTGCTTCATCAAGTAATAAAAATTTTGGATTACGAAAAAGAGCTCGTGCAATAGCAATACGCTGTTTTTGATCTCCAGATAAAAATGAAGTTCCATTCAATCCTACAGGTGTATCATAGCCCTAAAATTTTATAAAATAATCATTTTTTTATTATAAAGCAGCCTGTTTTCAAAGTTCAACATGTCATATAGATAAAAATTGTAGTTTTTAAAGTATGTAAAACGGAGTAAAACATACCATTGGTAATGCTTCTATAAAATTATGACAATGAGCTCGCCTAGCTGCATTAATGATATCTTCATAAGTAAATGTATGTGATGAACAGCCATATGATATATTTTCGACAATAGTAAGACCCAACATAAGAGCTGATTCTTGACTAATAAGACCAATTTGTGCTCGTAATCATGATTATCAACTAACTATTAAAAAATCAATCTTCAAAAGCATATATATATATATATAATAACTCATGTATATTCTGATTTGAGGAAAAGAATTATTTAGTCATATACTTGCACAATTATGTACTCTTCTCTGAAATCCTGTATGAATATATGATACAACTTTTTGTTTTAAGAATAGAGTTTAATAGATAACTATTAAAGATAGCATTGAATTTGATCTATTTAGTTTAAAAACAATACGAATATATCTTAAATCGATTTTCATACTATTAGTTACTATGATGAAAACTGAAAAACAAATTACTTACTACGCGTCCTTTATTATAATCGTGAAATCGTTCGAGTAATTCCATTACTCATTGACTAACAATTTAATTCTGATTCAATTCGGAAGTTTTTAATTTTATTAAAAAATAAAAAATTGATTCAAGTTGATTTCTCTAGGTCTTTAATGAATAAATTCTCGAAAATACCAATGTCGATAATCCATCGGAAAATGATCTAAAATTTGATTCGATAAGATATTGAAGAGAAATTCTTCTGATATCAAGATGGTGTATATGAGATTTTGTTGGTTTTATTAAAAACATGATGAAACATGAATATTTTCTCAAATCTTCTCAACAAATAGATCACATATGAACAAATAATCTTATTCTTTTTTTCTTTAATCGAACAAATTATTTTAATATATAGAAGATTTGACGTAGAACGGAAAAATAAATAAAAACGAATAATAGATTCTGGTTTGAACTGTTAATTTCTTTATCGACGATTTCAGATTAATCTAATAAGGTTAGAATTTCAATAGAAGTATGTCTGAATACTAATTTTGAAGTTAATTATTATTTATTCTGATTTTATTGAATACTGCGTATGATTATACTTCAAACTATAAAATGCTTTTTCAATTGAAATAATTCTCATCATTTTTCTTATCGAATAGCTTTTTATCTAGAAAACCAAATTTAAATAAATGCTTCTTAAGAGAGAAATTAATCTTGTCTTTATTGAATAAAGATATAAATGAGCATTATGGTAAATATTAAAAAACAATGAGAATATCTTCTGATTAATTTTATTTAATAATTAAATCCAATTAAGAAAACAGGTTCAGAGTTTGATCTGGAATTAAAATCTAGTTGACAACTGTGAAATGAAAATCAGTGAAAATAATAAAATTTATTAGAAATTGATTTTTAAATTAAAGAAAAATTATTTTCTTTTTCTTTTTTTTGAGCATTATTAATTAGTTAAGAAAGTGAATATAATAATATTTATTCTTCTGATCAATTATTAATATTGAATTTGATCGATATTAAATTTAAAGAATTCATTCTCTCTCTCTTAAAAATGTTCTTAGATATCTTCATTCTATGAATATTATTGAGAAAATGGAAAATATTAATTGAAATCAAATATAGTTACTCATATTTATATCATTGATTAGTTTTTATTCTGATAGGTTCCATATTTTCTAGATATGCTATCGCGACTATTCTTTTCATTCTTAAGAGGAAAATATAAAATTAAGATTTAAAAAAACAAATAATTATGAATAGAATCTTCACATCTCCTTTACTTTCATTTAGATGATAAAATGAAAAGATTTTAAATTCTCATTGAAAATAACTGAATTTAAACAATAAGATGTCTTGATTTCTAAACAATAACATCAAAGCAATTTGTTTTTTGTTTTATCATAAAATTATCTTTTCATTAAATAGTCTAGATTAAGAAAACCATCTTCATTTCCATTCAAATCGATTAAATTATTTAAAAAAACAATCTTTCACCTATATTCAATAGAGTCTATATTCTATTCAAATTTTATAATTAGTATAACAAAAAATTATTGAGCAAATCTTCCTACGATTATTCATTTATGAATCATCAAACTTTTCAATTTCTACTATAGAAAAGTTTCTATTTATTGATAAATATTTTTCATCTCCATAGAAATAGTATATTAATAAACAAACTAATCTGTATTTTATTCTTTTCATTCCCTCGTCTTTGTGTTCTTATTTATAATACATGAAGTTGTATGATATGAACACAAACGGATAATAGAATAATATGTCGAGGATAGTGGTAACATTCAGAGTTTCCAATAGAAAGCTCGAACAAAACGTATTGGTACGCTTTGTTCAGGTAGACAAAGCGTAAGTGTACACCTTCCTTTTACCTGCAAAGTGTACTTATGACGTTTTTCCAATGTAAAAAACAGAAATAATTCTACTTTCTTCATGAGTACTTTATATAAATACTTGTTAAATACCAAACATGTGAGTGATAAATAAGCATATCATTTCATAATCTGATATATTCATTTACAAAAAACATATGTGAGAAAAAAGAGTGCGCAATATACATAAAAGTTACTGTAGAAATACTTTCAAATGCAAAAATTTTAGAATCAAATTGTAAATCATTTTCGCAAAATGTGCACCGTACACTCTGCTTTTCGAGCAAATTGTAAATCAGAGCGTAAATAAAAAATTGTAGTTGTACAGCATATTTTGCTTATGCTGTGTACAACTGCTATTGAAAACTCTGGTAACACTACCTCACCCACCCGTCGTTGCAATTCCAATAAAATAAATATTCGAACAAGATCAAAGTAATCTGTATATCTTATTCTTTGTTAGAATGTTTCATCAATTTTATTTTCTATTTCAAAATGTTAATTATCTTCATTGATTATTATCATAGAGTTTTTCATAAAAAACAAGAGATCAATGTAAAACATCTCGAATTATTTTGGTTAAAATTTTCGATAAAAAAAAATGTTTTTATAAAAGAAAAATCTTTTTATTAATATAGATTAATTTGATAAAGAAAAGTAAATGAGATGAAATTTCTCTATATTTATGTATGTTTGTTCGTATCTGTATCTCTATAGAATCCAACCTATAATAATACATATTTTTCTTTCTTTTTCACCTTTAGATTAACTAACGGATAGAAGAATTAGTAGAATCTCATATAACATTTTGGATTGAATAACATTTGAATGTATGAACAATGTGGAGATAGATTAGATAATCTTTTAATTAAATATCTATTTATTTAATTTCTATATTATTCAATGAGATATAAGAAAATAAAGTAATTCCGTAGATTATTTTATTTTATTTTATTTTAAAGTAAAAATGATACTTTTGATCACTATACAAACTTATTATGAGCACAAAATAACGTCATTTTTCTTTTCGTTCTGTTGCAACTATTGATAAGTGTTGCAATTTAAGACAAAAAATGTATTTCAATTCATCATAATGTTGCTTCATGGTTGAAGAAAAAGAGAAAAGAAAAAAACAGATATGCGTTGATATTTTTCTCCTTTTTTTCATAATCTTGTATTGACAATAAGTTTAATTATAGATTCAAAGCTTGACTATTACTTTGAAATAAAACGACGAAATGAAACCTTTCGAATTGTTGATGTTCTTAACAAGAATGAAATATCGACTCATATAATAATTATTTGAGTAAGCTCGAAAATATGTCTATACTATGTAGAAATTCATTTGATTTCTTTTTCTTTAGTCTTCACTATATTTTTCTATCGTCAGAACATTTACAGTCTTCTCATTAAAATTCATTTTTGTTTTTTTTGCATTGTATATATATTTCCTTATTTAAATGATTTGGGAAGTGTCTAACGAATAAAATCTGACTGATTCATATGAGAAAAACATTGAAATTAGACAAATATTTCATAAAAGAGTTCCTACGATTTAATAATGTTGAAAATCTATTCTTTTGTTTTCTTTGAATTTAAACTTAATATTTCTCATTTAATTATCTTTGTTAAACTTGTTTGATAATTATACCAATGTTCGTTCTCTTCATATTATTTTGTTGTTATTTCATATTCAATAAGACATTTAATTCAATTATTAAAAAGTGAAATATTATTGGGAAAAAACGTTCGAAATATATTTAAAAGAAGAATATGAACGATTCGATGAGATAGAAAAGTAATTATTAAAATAGATTCATATATAGAAATGTAATTAAATATGAAATTGGAGAAGTGGAAGGAAATGAAGAATATTATCTTGGTCATTGAGTTAATTCATATTTATTTATTAAAGATTTAACACTCGAATGGTATAATATCGAAGAATTCTTACCTGCCTGTATAAATAATTTAGTTTAATCATCAATGAATATTTTTTCTAGATTTTTTACAAAAATTCGTTCCTAATGTTTTATTCCCATCATTTGAAGATTAAAGAGGTAAATGACTAATAATATATTGTTTTGGGGAAATATTTTTCATATTGAAAATAAAATCGAATCCAATATTGGACTAATGCGTTTACGCGATATATAAAAATAAAATAGAAATCAAGTAGCAAATGGTGAAATAATCAAAAAAAATTAAATAAAAACAATTGAGTGATTAGTCAAATAAAAATTTCTTTATCGATTTTTCTCTAATTTATTTCCTTCTAGCTTTGGAATGTTATGATTTGAGACGTGTTGCATGTACAAATGGAAGTTTTTATTAGAAATTCATATCGATGCAAGCATTTGCAATCATTTAAATAAATAAACTAATAAAATATCTAGAAATAAAATTCATATTTTAGATTATCTTGTTTATACAACATCATAAGTAAAAGAAAAGAATTTTCTTTTTTTCTCTCTTTATTCTCAATTAAATTTCATATTTTTAGCAAGGAAATATTGAACATGCTTTATCATTAACTGAAATGCTTATAATTGGTAAAAAACATTGAAGTTCTTTTCATTAAAAATAAAATATATTTGAATTTCTCCAGCTCCGTCTCATGTTCATGATAATAAATAGAAAAATTTATTATGAAATTATTAGAAAAAATCGAAGATTAACTAAACAAGAAGGCAAAGGTAATATGGATACGAATGAAAAACAAAATTTAAAATAACTTCCAACAGTTTCATAAACGAAAACTTATAAAA